CTAGCAATCCTTTTTAAGTTCAAACTCACATTATCAACCTATTTAGCTCTTTGCCATATGTCCTATAAGTTTTGGGGGAAAATTTTTATCCTATTTTTCTATCTTTAAATTCATTTTCTCTGTATCCTAATATACCCCTATTCTGGCCCAAATAATGATAAAAATTCATTCTTCAAAAATTCTCTTTTTATCATGTCACTTTACTTTTTAAAACTTATCACAGGGTGGTCATTACAATCAGAGTAGTAATCAGACTTACATTCAATATCAAGTGTCCTTTAAGTTTTGGCTAACTCTAATTTGGCTTCCTTTTCCCCGAAACGAGTCTCCAGCATCATCTTGCATCCTTCCAAGTGCATTTCCACATTTCTACCCAGCTCATGTCTAATTCTGACCTGTGTACTGCCTCCATTCCAGCACCTTTCCCCAGAACATGTAGATTGCTCTTTTCTCATGGTCTTGCTTTTCCAGTTCCCCACTGGTTCTGCAAAGCCTAGTTTTTACTTCATTCATGATCATGTTCTCCTTACTTCCCTCCAATCTTGATTGTTTCTTGCAAAATTACTATAGTTTTTCCTATGCTTATGCTTATTCAGGAATTTATATAAAGCTTTATCTTTAATTAGTGTTCTACATGTTAGCAATTTCAAACATATTTATTGCTCAGGGAAAGAGTGTTTTTAAAATAAATATTAAAGCAATATATACTAACTGTGAATATATATGGTATAAGCATATTATATACAGAATATACTTACATACCCCATGTATATATGTATATAGTATACGTATACATATGCTATAGATACACACTATATATGTACATATGTATATTATACATATGTAGAAAGTATATACATATATACTATATACATATGTCATATTTACACACTGTATATAGTATATGTATGTGTACTATATGTATATAGCATGTGTATACAGTATATAGTATATATATGTATATAGTATATATACTATATCTACATACATGTGTATATATGGCATATGTATGCATATACTAAATACCTGTATACTATATATAATATACAAATACTATATACCTGTATACTATATATACTATACATATACTATTCATATAATATACATATACTATATATAATGTACATATACTATGCATATGCAGTTAGTACATTTTGATTTAGTACTTATTAACTATGTATATATCTTGTGAAATACACAAAGAACAATACAAAAAAAAGTTATTCTCCACTCTACTTCCTAGAGATAAACTGTTAAACACTTACTGTATTTTCTTAGTTATTTTTTCTTTGCTTGTAAACAATTAGAATAATATGTGTATTTGAGTGCATTCTTATTTTATGTCTCACTTCATCCTGCATATTTGCCAATGAAATTCCATATTCTTTGAAAACATAACTGCAATGCAGACATCATATTTAATTAAAGATGAATATATCAACATTTGACCTCAGTTCCCACTCCAGCTACCACTTAACCCTTATATCCATATTTTCCAAAAGTATTTTCCATGCTTATTGTCTTTATTTCCTTGCTTTCCTTTCTCTTTTCAACGTACTAAATCTGACATATGCATCCAACATTACATAATTTTAATGAGATGAGCAGAGAAATCCAGTGAGTGTTTGCCAGAGCTCATCTTAGTTAACCGGCAGTATTTTACATTGCCAGTGGCTGTCCTCTTCTACTCTCATCCTTTGACATCGGTCACAGCCCAGTTTCTTAGCTTTCCTTCTAACTTCTAGTTCACTCCTCACGTGCCTTTGTGAGGTCATCCTCCTCTTCCTGGCTTTTATGATAGTGTTTGCCAAGGGTTGGTGTCAGGCTGTTCCATTCTCGTTATTCCTTCTCTGAAAGTAATTAGCTTCACTCCTGCAGCTCTAATTAGCATGCATTGATGACTGTCAAATGTATGTCCTCAAACCAGGTCCCTCTTCTGGTCTCCAGTCCATGATATCATCAGTTAAGTATCCAACATTCCTATGACTTTCTTCTTGTTCATTCCCATGCCCAATAAAACAGACAATTCTGTAAACTTTAATCCTCTTGCGTCTATCTACCAATTTCCACATCTACTGCCAATACTCTCGTTAAACTTATGGTCCTCTCTGGACTGAATTCTCATAATTGTATTCTGACTTATATTTGCTCATAAACTCTTCCAGTCTATTCATATCACTGTAGTTAGTCCATTTATTTAAAAGTATAAGTTTGATGATTCCATTCTCCATCCTTGGTCCATCCTAGGACCCATGTTTGACTTATCGTTAATTTCCCTAAGATTTATATCCCTAACAAGTCCTACATGGCACCAAGTGATCTGGCTGAGAAATGTCATAAGCCAAGGTTGGAAGATTAATGAACCCATGCAGTTCAAGCCAACTGCAGGTGTAATACCTCCACTGATAAAAGGTTTTCAGAAAACCAAAATAATCCAAGAGAGTTAGCTCTAAACATCTGCAAGCTGAATGAAAATTATTTTCTCACTTTTACTGGCCTAATGCTGTGCCTTCAATCGAAGAATAATGAAGGCACAGCATTAGACCAGTAAAAGTGAGAAAATAATTTTCCTACTTCTTTTCCTTTGCCCCTCTACCTTCTTCCTTTCCCTTCTCTTACAGTGAATTAAAGGCATCAGAAAAGGTAGCTAGCAAAAAAGAGGTGGAGGAGTAGCAAAGTAAAACAATGAGAACTATCCCTTTTCTCTTGTTGGTAGTGAGACTGTAACAAGACCATTAGGGAGAGGATAAAAGCTGTGATTTTTAGCAAAGACAGGAATGATTTTTCAGATATTATTGTTAAACTAAAATAACTCAGACTTTTTCTATGTCTAGAGGGAACAGGATGAATTTTTTTTATCATCTAGGGATAAAATTAAACAACTCATTGGGCTTGTCATAAATTTGATTCAATTGGCAAAAGTAAATTTAAGTATGTGACAGGGAAAAAAACAGAGTTGTTTTCTAGTTACACACCACAAGCCTTCCTTGTTCAATATGCTTGTTTGAAGAAGCAACATATGTGGGATGCAGTGATGGAATGGTAAGTGAGAATGAGAAATCTAGACTGTACATATGATGTCTCATATTTTGTGAGCACAAGGCAATCCTGAACTAGAAGCCATGTGGCAAAGCAGAAAGCCTAACTCTGTAGCCCTGAGGAAAGCAGAGCCACCACAATCAGCATGTACTTCTCACCCACAGACCCCATTATGCAAGAGAAAATATTTCACCACTGTTTTCAACATGGATTGAATATATGCTCTCAGGACAATTTAGGTTTATGCTTCTTGTTCCAGTGTAATTATCATTATAGCCCCTTTTTATTCTCAAAATGTCTTCTTTTACTGACAGTATGTTCTATAGTCACATATAACAGAAATTAAAGATACATGAAGCAAAAACTGATTCGGCTGCAAGAAGAAATGGATAAACATAGTTGGAGATATCAAAACCCTCTCTCAATAATTGGTAGAATATGCAGACAGAACATCGGAAGGAATATAAAAGAATTAACACTATTCATCAACTTGACCTAATTGACAAGTACAGAAAATTCCATAATACCACAGCATAACATACATTCTTTTCAAATGCATATGAAACATTTACCAGGACAGATCATGTTCTGAGCCAAAAAAACAAGGCTAACTAAATTTTAAAAGATTCAAGTCATAAAAACTATGTTTCCTGCTAATAATAAAATTAAGTTAGAAGCAACAGTGTATCCAAAGATCTTTAGAAACTATATGCCATAATTATAAGTAACCCACAAGTCAAAGAAAAAAATCAAAAGGCAAATTAGAAAGTATTTCTTACTGAATGAAAATTGAAGCCTAGCATATCAGATTTTGTGGTAAGTTACTAAATCAGTACTTACAAGAAAAGAAAAATGTTTCAAATCAGTGATTTTGTTTACATCAGGATACTAAATATATACATATATATTTAGACTGGGATTAATTATATATTTAATTTTTTAATTAATAATTGTTATATATAATTAATTATTAATTATAGAATAAAAAAGGGCTAGAATAATAATTATACTGGAAATATAGGCATAAATTTATTTATTAAAATATGTAATTAATTAATAAATTATATGTAATTATATATATATACAATTAACTCCAGCCTAAATTAAAGAAAAAATAAAGATAAGAGGCAAAAATCAATGGAGCAGGGAAAAAAAAGAATCAGAAAAAAACAATAAAATAAAAAGTAATTTTTTGAGAAGATCAACAAAATTGATAAATCTCCAGCCAGACTGATGGGAGTTGGGGAGAAAGAAGATACAAGCTAGTAAACTGCTAATATCACCAAGAGAGGTGACATGATCATAGATTCCATATATATTAAAAATAATAAGGTAATATTATAAAAAATATTTTTGCCAATATATGTGACAACTTAAATAAAATAAAAACTATCCTTGAAAGGTACATAACACAAAAGCTCATTCAAAAAGAATTAAATAATCTGAATGGATTTATATTTATTAAAGAACTGAATTTACAGTTAAAAATCTTACCACAAAGAAAACTCCAGGTCCAGATGGCTGAGTTATGCTAAACATTTAAGAAAATATAACACCAACTCTATACAAACTCTTGGAGTTATTCCAGCAATAAAGGTTGGTTTAACATTCAAAAACCAATCAGTATAATTCATCATATTAAGCGACTAAAAAAGAAAAAACTATATGATCATCTCAACAGATGCAAAGTCTCACAACTTCTTGTCAACATTTTATTGATTATATCCAGTAGAATTGGGAGAGCAACATAAATACATCCAGATTGGAAAGTAAGAATGAGAATTGTCTGTATTCATAGACTGCATAAACCACTATTTAGAAAATCTTATTGAAAACCTACAAAAACTCTACAAGCACTAATAAGTAAATTTAGCTAGGCTACAGGATACAAGATCTATATGCAAAAATCAATTGTAATGAGCAATCAAGAATTGAAGTTTTAGGCTAGACACGTGGCTCACCATTGTAATCCCAGCTCTTCAGGAGGCAGAGGTGGGTGGATCGCTTGAGGTAAGGAGTTCCAGACCAGCCAGGCCAACATGGTGAAACCCTGTCTTTACAAGGAAAAAAAAAAAAAAAAATTAGCCAGTCATGGTGGCATATGCCTGCAATCCCAACTACTTGGGAGGCTGAGGCAGGAGAATTGCTTGCAACCGGAAGGCAGAGGTTGCATTGAGCCCAGATCATGCCACTGCACTCCAGCCTGGGTGACAGAGTGAGACTCCATCTCCAAAAAAAAAAAAAAAAAATCTATAAAAAATTGAATTAAAAAATCAGTACAATAGCATAAACAATTATAAAAAATTTCGGGACAAATCTGTCAAAGACATATAAGACCTGTAAAGAGAAAACAACAGAATATTGCTCAGTGAAATTAAAGAGGACCTACATATTTGGCGAGATATGCCTGTTCATGAATCAAAAGACTCAATATTGTTAGGGTGCCAACTATACTCAATTTATCAAAATCCCAGCAGACTTTTTTTGGAAGAAATTTATAAGCTGGTTATGAAATTCATATGGAAATTCATGTTATACATATGTCTGGCTAGATTGATCAAAATACTTTGGCAAGAATTAACAGATTGGATGACTAATATTAGATAACTGCTTGACAGATTAGAAAGCTTAAGTAATCAAGACAACGTAGTGTTGAGCTAAAGGGAGACGACCAGATCAATGGAACAAAATAGAGATCCAGATTAAACCCACACATATATGGACAATGAATATTTGACACAGGTGCAAATGCAGTGCAGTGGGAAAACAATAGTCTTTTCAATATATCTTGCTGGAACAACTGAATCTACATATGCAATTAGGAAAAGATGGATAGATGGAAGGAATACAAGAAAAGTTAACACATGAGCTCAGTGTCCTTGTTGATATATATAGACTATAATAATTTCTATATCATAAGATTTTGGGGAGTGCTAAATATATGAGAATTTGCAACACCCCTAAAATATAGTCAGACACATAATAGGCATGATATGGCTATAAGTTATTTTTATAAAGGTAAAATGTTAATATCTGTGTGCAAGAAGTTCTAGAGAACTGTAACAATAGTTTGTATAGATTATTTGACTAATAGTTTCTTAGAAATTACACACACACACACACACACACACACACGAACTCTGATTAAAAGGACCAAAATTGTGCTAAAGAAGCAACAAATAATTCACTATGGACAAACAATGGTAAAATTCAATATAATAAACAAACCAAAGGAAATGCTCTAAAATTTTCCAACAAAAAATGGTCAACCATCTAATAAGGAAAAGCGTTTTTACATTCATAAAGGGGTAGGAGAGGGCAGTGCCTAATCCCCTGAATCTAGGCTCAGTCAAACACTAGCTCTGAAACATTGAAAAAGATATTTAAATTCTTCATAGCTCAGTTTCCTTGTTGATATAATATAGATTATAATCATTTCTATATAATGAGATTTTGGGGAGTTCTAAATACATTAGAATTTGTAACACCCCTAAAAATACAGCAAGATACATAAGAGACATAATATGGCTGTAAACTATTATTATGCTTAGATTTCTTGGTACAATATTTGATGAAGGAATATAATAACATTTTCAAGGTGCTTCAAAAGAGAAAGTCAATGTTTGAATCTGATATCATTTGGATAGTCATTTAAATACAAGGGTAAAACAACAGAAAAATGTCATAAATATCAGGAAGAAATAAAGATTAGTATATCAGACATGATATTAATAGCACATCTGCAATTATTAATGCTTCATCCAAAATTTATTGAGAGGTTATTAGATGCTAGATACTAAGTTCCTTATACACATTAACTGATTAGTATTCACATAAACCCTATGTAACAAAAAGAGGTTCACCAAAGGTCACCCAGGGTACACATGATAGACAACCAAAACAGTTACCTCCATAGTAAGCCTTCTTTGCAAGGTTTGTAAATCTGAGTCCGATCCTAAATACAAACCATCTGTTCCTGGTTCCCTTTCTGAGGCTTTTCTCCATGAAAGTTTGTTTGCAGATGTTATCTTTGAGAAAGGATCCTTGAGCATGATTTCAGTGGAGGCAGAAACCCTTCTTTCCATGAAGGTATTGATTTTGGTTACCTGCTCTGTTGTGTTCTCTTTCATATGAAAATTCAATTAGTGGTTGAGTCCAATTATGAAAAAAAACAAGTATTTCATGACAAATGAACTAGCAGTTTGTCATTCGTAGGAAAAAGTGTGCAAAACACAAGCTCGATTGTTGGTTTTGGCCATATCATGTATACAATTCTTTTGATATTTGAGTCGTCATATCAAGGAATGACTAGAGTAATATTCAAGTTAGAGAACATGCATTTTGACTGGGTAAGAAATAACAACCATTGGTTAACGACCCAGAGTCTTGAACCTTCAATGATGAAAGAAAATATTGAAGGAGAAAACATAACAAAACGCCCAGCAGAATCAAGCATGGCCACGTGGCCCAGCCATTCCGATCTAGTTTTGCAAGTCTTATAAAACTCTGTAAGTTTTATAAGTCTTTTGTTAGTCTGCATTTCTCTGAAAATGCAGCTCATATTTGTTGGCGATAAGACTGAGTATATTGTGTGAATCTCTCATAGTGCTATGCCATAATCTGCCCAAAATATGATAGAGCCCCAAACTAGGTAAGAAATTTCCAAATTTCAAAGGGAGACCTGTTACTGTCAGAAGCGTATCTTTCTAGCAAACAGAAGTTTCCTCTCACTTTAGAAATTAGTAAACATTGACTAGGATATTCAAAATCCATACCAAGGAGGTGACTGTATGAAATCCATTTGTAAAGGTTCAAAAGTACCCTGACACTTATGTTCTTGTTCAATCTCCACCTTTACAATTTAATCGGATTATGTTGGTGCAGAAGAGACAAGCAACCAGAGACATTCTCAGCAACGTCAGTAAAATTACCCCACTAATGTCAACAAAGTACTGCAATCAATTTGTCCTTCTTGAGGTGAGAAATTTAATGAAAAATGTTTGCAAGTTTCCACCTGAGGTCCTCTGGTGACAACAAACCGCCATTCTGAAAGTGACAGATTATGAAGAACCTTCCTCAGTAAGGTCTGAAGATGACGGGCACAGTATGAAACAGGGAGAATTTGTGGATGACAGAGACAGCTACCCCTGCAGTAGTTTAACTCTGAGGAAGAGGTCAGGTGACAGTGGCAAGTCTTTTGGTTGATATGACCTCCAGGATCAAACATTCACAAGACCACCTTTAAGACACAGAAATTCTCCTTGGGAGTTTAAAGGCAAATGAGAAACTGAGTGCTTGATACTCATTTGGAACAGTGTCTGTGATTTCCTACTTCCTTTTTTTCACCTTTGATTTCATTCCATGAGGGTTTGGAGGTCTAGCAACGGGATTACTTTCCTTTCCAGTTTTTCTTGTATGTTAAATTTCCCTATTTCTGACATGAGGTCACTCAGAGAAAGTGAGGCAAGAGCTAGCACTGCATATGTTCCAGGACCTACATCTGAATGTTTCCTATAGGTGTGAAAGAGCATCCCCCTTAAGTTTCTAATGCTGTCATCTTTGTTTCTTGTGGTGCATAAACTCCAAAGATTTTATCTGAAATTTATAGCTTTTTAAAGTTCCTCCGGTTTTACTCTTACATTTGGAGTCTCTTAAATCATACTCAAAATATTCACACTGCCTTTTCCAACACATTTTGTTGTGTTTGAGGTTCATCATAATCTATAAATCAGTTGATAGAGATCTGGAAACCCTGAATTATGTGTTCCTAGAACTATTGCAAATTTCTTTGTATTTTTATGCCTACCTTGCATAGCCTTTGGAAGTTTTTGGAAATGACTTTTAGCATAGACTCAACCAGGGCTTAAAATCTGCCATGAGCTAATTCTGATTTGGTCAACTTTAAGAGCCAATTGAACATTTAGTGTTTCTAGCTGACCAGAAGAAAAGGGATGTCAGAAAGAGTGTCAGAGAAAGGAAAAATGGGGGGCAATTGGGTGAGAGAACAGGAATAGTAAGATAAAAACTTTTCGATTCAAGTGATAATTTGGGCGTATCTAAAGAAAAGCCTTTCACATTTTTACATTAGCTTCTTCCATGGAATAATTACTGAAGCAATTGCGGAATCTAGATTTTTATTGTAAGATTTCTCGTATCAATCAGAGCATACATATCACTGAATGCTGGGAATATCACTCTCTTTCCATAAGGCACCTCTCAAATGAACAATTTTGTTCTTACACAAGGTTTCCCAAATGGCCTCTGAAATTCTAAATTAGCGTTGGCAAAATTAAACCATTTAGAAAGAGATACATAGTATTAGTTGTGGTGTAAAATTCATGTAAAAGGAAGGAAGATGGCTTGGAGGAGATATGAACTTGGGTTTAGTCTGAGACATAGGCATAACAATCTGGCAATGGTTGGAAAAATGAGTTGTTTGTGTATCTTATGCCCTTGGCTCCCCACACTAAAGGTTAGATAGTCTCCAGTGGTAAGCCAGATAAATATACAGTTTGGGAAGATGAAAAGTTGGACCAAGAGATCTCATTCGAAATCAGGTTCTCACAGACAAAACAGGCCTTCAAAACCTGTATAAGCTTTTGCTAAAGTTTAGGGCAATATCTGTCTAGTCAATGCCAATCTGAGGACACGCTTTTTGGGACTCTAGCCCCAGTGGCTGGCTCAGTAAATTGACTTCACAGGGCCTGTGTTTATTCTCTTATGAACTTCCTGTTATTGACTCCCAAGAGAAAACTATGAAGACAGCATTAATAAAAAGCAATAGTAATAAGGCAGATACTTATTGAGGATACATTTTTTCCAAGTCTGATAAATAATCAGAGTTCTTGAAAGGAGATCTTAGGAGACAAAATACATTTGGCATTTGGTAGTTTGATAAAAAGAAATTAGGACTGAAATCTAACGGGAGACTTAACCCTTTGTTGTAGTCAGAGTGATTCATCCCCCAAGCCAGGAAGCTCAAGAGGTTTCACTGATTTGCACTATTTTTGAATTTAGGATCTTTATTTAAGCAGCAAGGAAGGAGGATTTCAATGGGACCTCCAAGTTGTTGAACACCCAAAAATATCAGCCGAAAATCTTTCCATAAACAAAAGTTACCCTACTGCAGTAAGAGAGAGTGCCACATTGACAGGGTCTTAGGGTATCTTGGGGTAAGTCAGAAGCAGAATAGCTGTCAAGCTTTGGATTCTGGACATGAGTAGTTTAAGGAGGGGTTTTCAAAGTGGGGAACTGAGTAGGACTGGGCAAAGTTCATGATAACAATACTTTGGGATTGGTTAATCCAGGTAAGTGAGAGTTTGGGGAAGAAAACTGTCATTATTTGGGAGGCCGAGGCGGGTGGATCATGAGGTCAACAGATCGAGACCATCCTGGTCAACATGGTGAAACCCTGTCTCTACTAAAAATACAAAAAAATTAGCTGGGTATGGTGGTGCATGCCTGTAATCCCCACTACTCAGGAGGCTGAGGCAGAAGAATTACCTGAACCCAGGAGGCGGAGGTTGCGGTGAGCTGAGATCGCGCTATTGCACTCCAGCCTGAGTAACAAGAGCGAAACTCCATCTCAAAAAAAAAAAAAAAAAAAGAAAGAAAAAGAAAAAGAAAACTGTCATTAATAAGCAGGCTGTTTACCAGAGTCAGAATATTATTGTCCTCAATATGTTGGTTTGCCAGCATTTCCTGAAGCAGACATTGAATTTAAGTACTAGATTGCAGTCTTATCTTTTCCAGCCTAAAGTTTTCTAGAAAAAACAACTAAGTCATGTGTACATAACAGGTTCATAGTTTTACCTACGTCATGTTCATAGATGATCTCAATTCTTAAAGCCTATGATATTAATATGAGAAAAAAATAGAACTTCAAATAAAAGACATTATACACTAGTAAGAAGAAAATTAGATCAAAATTATATAGTATCACATTATGTTAAAAAATAACAGAAAGAACTACAGTCAGAAACAGAAAAAGTATGTCAACAATTATAATTGAAGATTTTAATAAGTCATTCCCAAGCAAGATTTGAATCTTATAATAAGCTCAAATTAATACCCAACAAAAATAAAGTACACATAGAATTAGTTGCCATTATCAACCATGTCCAGGACTACAAAGAAAGCCTGAATGCATTTCTAAGAGCAATGTAATTTATAGCAAAAATTAAATATAATAAAATTAGAAACTGATGAAAATCATATATCCCTAAACTAAAAAAACACAATTAAATAACTTTTTGGTTAAAAAAATAAACAAATTAAAATATATTTGCAACTGTTTGCCAAAGAAGGCACTACGTGTCAAAATTGAGAAACAAAGGAAAAGCAGAATTAAGACAAAACTTGTATTTTATTGATCCACTGATTGAGAGATGGGGTCTTGCCGTATCGCTTAGGCTGGTCTCAAACTACCTTCAAGTGATCCTCCTTCCTCAGTCTTCCAAAATGCTGGGAGTTACAGATGTGAGCCACCATACATGGCCCAAAACTTGTATTTTTAAACTAAAAAGAAGAAAAATGAACTGAGCATTCAACTACAAAAGCTTGAAATGAAGCAACAAAGTAAAGAAAGCAAGAAGATGGGAAATAACAAATCAGAAATAAAGTAGACAGTCAGAATGGATATTAGAGAAGTTACAATGGTGTATTATCACTATTTTGCCATCAAAAACTATCAACTCCCATCTACTCGGGAGGCTGAGGCAAGAGAATAGCTTGAACCAGGGGGTTTGCAGTGAGCCGCGATGGTGCCACTGCACTCCAACTGCACTCTGGCTTGGGAGACAGAGCAAGACTCCGTTCCTCTCAAGCCAAACCTCCCAACAAAAAAAAAAAACGTATCATCAAAGAAAACAAAAACTCAATATCTAAACATAAAGAGGTATTATTTTGGCTGGGGCCTGGCTACCTACCTCTCTTTCTCCACTGACTCTGCAATGTGTTCTGAAAAAACAGATTTAGAGTCAGTAAAACAGGTCTCGCATGAAGCTAGTGATGAACTCACAAAACAGTGAAAAGGACTTTCTTAACCTTTAAAATATGCTAGTGGCAAAAAGTGTTTCCAGGGAGTAAGAAAGAAAAAATAAATAAAAAGTCTTGAGCACCTGAGCAACTCTTCCTTTTTACCTTTAAGGCATTCTTAGATAACCATTGCATGATTGTTTTTGGAGACTCTTTTTTTATTCAAGTATACTTTTTGCCAGCATTTTCTGACTCAAAATATAGCAGTAGGAAGATAACATTTTTGAAAGAAAAAAAGTTGGTATGTGCTTACTGAGGTATTTAAATAGTATAACAGTTAATATGATATTAGTACATTTTGGATATATTTTGAGTTTGTTGATTTTTCCAGTCTCCACCCACGGCTAGGCCTGTGCGTGCTGCAAATGCCTGTGGTTCTCAATTTTGGTTGCTGATTAGAATCCTGATGTCCAGTTAAACCAGAATCTCAGACGGTGTACTCAACGATCTATTTTTCTGAAATGTCCTTTTATGATGCCAAATGCAATCAAAATTGAGAATCACTGTAATAGCAAATGGTTGAATGGAAACTCCACCTTCTATTTAAATCTTACCCCAGTCTGTCCTTAGCTATTCTCTTTTCACAGATCTATCAGTGTCTGAAGGCAACTATGGCAGGCTGATCAAATATGCACATAGCAGAAAGACAGCAAGGGGAGTGATACATTGACCATGTTCCAAATCACAAAGCATCTCAACAGGCTGGATCATGGACCGAGTTGGACAGGATGGAATTTCATAAAGATACATAAAAAAGCATATTGGGTATAGGAAACTAACTCCATAAATGCAGAGCAATTTAGACGTGACTAAGTAGCAGCACACATGAAAAATTATTGAGGAATTTTGTTGACTTTAAGGATAGTGTGAGTCAACATTGTGATTTGGCTGCCAGAAAATAAAGTCAATCCAAGGCTGTGTCAACAAAGGCATACTGTCCTTTCTGCATGCTTATTACAGCACTAAGTACTGAGCCACGTTCTCAACAGCATACTTTATAAACCTGGAACGCTAACAGTATGGTTAAGGGAAACTGGAACTGTCATCTTGGGGAATAAAAAGGATACTTAGCCAGGAGTAAAGTTAGCTTAAGGAGACCATGACAAATATTTTCAAAATATTTGAAGGACTTAGTTGTGGAAGTGGATTAGATTTATTGTGCAAAACTCCAGAAGTCAAAAGCAATAGAGAGATGGAAGGAAATGCTTTTCAGCAGGGTTGCTCATCAATAAAGGCAGTGAACAGTCACACAGAATGGAGGGTTCCCTGCCCTTTGAGGTAGTTAAAGCTTCAAGTAAATTATGGGTGAGGAGTTTCAAATCTTCTAGAGTTGAACCAGATAAGGAAGTCTCTTCTTCCAGCAAGATGTTATGGACCTATAACACCAGTGTACTTAAAAGTAGATTGGGAGTGAAAGGCAGACTTTCCATGTTCTACATACTGTGGAAACCCCTTAGCGTGGTTCTCTGCAGCCTGCCCACCCTGCCCCAGGAAGGCAAACAGCCAATGGGCACCAGCACAACGGAGACCCCAGTGCTTTTCCAATGAGGAAATGCAGTCACTTTTCTCTGGATGTTACATCCTTTCGGGAATATGTCTCACACACATCTCGCTTTATCACCCCCTTTTTCAAGTAAACCAACTTCTTGTAGAAGCTGACCCTGTGTCTCTTTACTCTCCATGAAGATTCTGGCTCTTCTCTTCACCTGTCAAAAGTTTAGGATTCCAAAGGGTTCACATTAGCATCCATCCCAACAGCCTGCACTGTGTCCCCAGAACTGCAGTTCTGGCATCAGCAGGCAACTTTCAGTTACACAGACCAAAGGACAGAGGGGACCTCTCTGAGGCCCCATAGGGTTCTCTGCCATAGTGAGAGCTTCTCTTAGAACTTTTAGAACTCCCAGGACGTTTCCACACTTTGAGCAGGGTGCTGAGGGCCAGGCGTGGTGGGAAGAGGACCAGAGCCCGGGCGGGAGCTGCCGAGGACAAAGGGTGGGTTTCCTCCATCCCACGGTGCCTAGATTTTCCCCGCTCCACGTGGCCCCGGGTGGTCGCGTCACCTCCAAAGCCGGCCCCCGCCTGCCCGGGGACTGAACTTGCCCCTCCGGCCGCGCGCTCCCGGACGGGGACGGGGACGGGGGCGGGGAGGGAGAGAGCGAGACGGGGCCGGGGGAGGTGGGGCCGCCGGGGAGGAGGCGAGGGCAGCGGGGAGCTCCGGGGAGACGGCTTCGGAGGGTGAGAGGGGAGGGCAGCCTGGGCTCGGCACGCTCCCTCCCTCGGCCGCTTTCTCTCACATAAGCGCAGGCAGAGGGCGCGTCAGCCATGCCCTGCCCCTGCGCCCGCCGCCGCCGCTCGGCCCCGCGCGCTCCGGAGACTCCTGCGCCGCGGCGCTCCCGGGCCCCGCCGCCCCGCCGCCCTCCTCCAGCCCCCGGCACCGCCGCCAGCGCCTCCGCCGCAGCGCCCGCGGCCCGGCTCGTCTCACTTCGGGGAAGGGGAGGGGGGAGGGGGACGAGGGCTCCGGCGGGTCCGGAGGGGCCGAACATCGCGGGGCGTTCTGGCGTTCCCCCCCCTCTCTCCAAAACGCTGCATCGACGCGGACCGCGGAGGCGCCCTCCCTCGCCCTCGCTTCACCTCGCGGGCTCCGAATGCGGGGAGCTCGGATGTCCGGTTTCCTGTGAGGCTTTTACCTGACGCGCGCCGCCTTTCCCCGGCACTGGCTGGGAGGGCGCCCTGCAAAGTTGGGAACGCGGAGCCCCGGACCCGCTCCCGCCGCCTCTGGCTCGCCCAGGGGGGTCTCCGGGAGGAGCCCGGGGGAGAGGGACGAGGAGGGGCCCGCGCCCCCACCCCTGCCCCCGCCAGCGGACCGGTCCCTCACCCCGGTCCTTCCACCATGCACTTGCTGGGCTTCTCTCTGGCGTGTTCTCTGCTCGCCGCTGCGCTGCTCCCGGGTCCTCGCGAGGCGCCCGCTGCCGCCGCCGCCGCCGCCGCCGCCTTCGAGTCCGGACTCGACTACTCGGACGCGGAGCCCGACGCCGGCGAGGCCACGGTAGGTGCGCGGATCCCGCTGGTCCCGGGGTCGGGGCCGGACTCCGTGCGGGCTGCGGAGGACCCGAGAACGTGCGCGGGGGAACCGTGTGTGCTTTCAGCTGTGTGCGTGGGATGCAGAGTGACTGGGCTCAGTGCACGCAGCTTTGCAGAAGCATTTTCTTCTTTTTAAACAGAAGTTGTTACTAGAAAGGCAAGCAAGTTACCCGTGGGAAGGGCCCAGAGAGGTGCCCAGTGACGGGGACCACGAAATGTATTTCAGACTGGTTTCCTCTCGGGCAAACCCCCCAGGTCTTGAACCCTGCGCAGGGGCTCGGGAGAGCAGGAGTTCGTTCTGGTCGGGAAATGCTCCTTTCTTTCCCCACTGATTCACGGGACTCCAAACAGTTTCGGGGACACTGGTGATCAGTCAACGCAGCCTTACTTTCCGGGAGTGTTCGTAGTCTGCGGAGCACCGGGCGCTGTGCGCGACTTTAGAAAAAACTGTCGGGGACTTTAGCAACCAGGCTCCAGAGCTTTCAGAGTTCACTTGAAGTTGGTCAGACTTGAGATGTAACAGGAGATTAGAGTCAGATCACAATCAAGCAAGGCAACTTGCTTGTTTCAACTTTATAAGCTCTTCATTCCTGAAATCTGGTCTTGAGATACTAAAACTAAGGGTTTTTTTTTTCCTGTTTGTTTTGTTTTCTTTTAGAGCTGTTTAATTGTTTGTCTAAAAATTTTGCCAACATACTTTTGAGGCATTCTGATTTCCAAAAAGGATTTTTGTTTGTTCTTACTTCTTACTGGCTCTTCTAAAAGACTATATCTTTACCTAAAATGTTCATTTTGCCATTACCTTATAGAGTATGCTTAAGGGAGTTCCTGAAGAAGTTATATTAGACATTTGAGTTCAAACACTTGTAGTACCCCTTGCTGGAACTACACTGCAGTGGTTTATTTCAACCGGTGGCAAGTGGAGAGGTACCTGTAGTGTGTTACGGTTAACTTTAAGTTGACTTTATTAACACAGACACAATGTGTAGAAAATAAATAGCCTACTCAGTTATATTTTGAAATACATTTTAAGATTAAGAAGACTAATTTTTTGAAATTCAAACTACCTCTGTGTTTAAATTTTGGGGAAACATTAAAATGTTGGAATCTGTAATAAATTCAGATAGGGGTGCAAGGTTACTTCTCTTGAGGAAAAACAATATACATTAAATTGCAGAACTCACTGCATTCTGTGAATTGCAAAAATAATTTTCAGTGCCTGTACATTGGCATAACTATAGTGATGAAAATATCTTTCTGTTCTTAAATACCACAGAAATGTAGTATTAGGCTCAATAATGCTTCTGATAATTTGAGTCCTTGATTTTGCAGTACCTATTTATTTGCTGTTTTTGTAAAGTCAAAACTAGTGAAAGTATGATTTAGTAAGGCAACATCTCCGTATTGCCTATGATCACTGACTTTGGTTTACAGTAAGAAAATGTACAGTAGAAAATAAAATGAGAAGCATTCCTTGATAAGCCCATAGCTTACCTTGTATGATAGTCACTCACTGCTGGGTTAGTCTTGAATTAATGTACCCTGAGTGTGTGTGTGTTATGTATAGGTATGGGATTAGAGGATAAAAAAGTTAACTTATTTTTAACTTTCAAAATTGTCTTCATTGGTGATATAAAATTTGCCATTGATGTGAAAATCTCTATGCATTTTTGTTTGCAAATGTTGCATTTCACATTTAACCATTTTTTATATTTTGTATGGTGAATATGGGTTAGTATTCTGTATGTGATGTGGGTTCTTTATCCATGTGATAAAACATCATTTTCCATGTGAAACGTCATCTCTGAATTCCATAGACTCGAAGCAGTATTTCATTGCTCCACTAAAGCGTTGTTCCCCAGTGGGTGACTATAACCTTGACAGAGCATGTGTCGTTTAAGGACACATCAATTAATGGGTCCTTCCTATGAAACATGGCACACAACTGCCAAGAAACTGATGTGAAGACTCTATGTCTCTCCCTAGTGGCCTGTACAAGTGCCTTATTTTGACATAAGCACTGGAGAAGAACTGGGGAGAAATCAATTGTTAATTTACTTTAACTACATGAACCCCAAGAAAATATTTCAGAAGATAAACAGGAGATGCTAAATATCTATGATCCCAGTAGATGCATTTTTTTGGTAATTTTTACCTAGGAAGTTTTTTTTAATATTTAAAAAAATCGAAAATAGCACATAAGCTATGAACCAAAGTTAGCCAGCCAGTTCTTCACCCCACCCAGAAAGCCATACAAAGGATTGGAGGTGAAATCACAAATGGAATGAAGATCTCCTTATTCCTTGACTTATATTTGCGTTTATTAGATTCCTATTTCTAGTTCTGTGTGGTTGCATGACTTACTGAAAAGTCTTAAAACGTTTCTCTGAGGGATGTTAACACAAACAAGTCAGTGTCAGAAAAGTAAGGCAGGCAAAAGTAAAATTAACTGGACTTGATGGTGAAAAAGAGAGTGGCAAATCTACAGCCATTATATTTAGAGTTTTCCTCAAATTATGTGACTGAGTATGTTTGTCAACATCCACTCTTATAAGAGATTTCTGGCATTCATCTGAGTGATGCCGGTCATAGGAGGTTTTAGGTATAAAAAGTTCAATTCATCTTTCATTTTGACTTCCACTTCATTATATTCTTCTGAATATCTGATTCGTAGCCATTTGTTCATGAGACAGTTACCAAAATTGCTTAATAGGAAGCAGTTAATTACTAAACTTAGTGCCGTATTTCTAAGACCCATAGATCTCTATTCCTGTCCTTTTCAGTTGAGTTGAGAAAGGTGGAGGATGGTGGATTTAGGAGATTTCTTTCTGGACTTCAGGTTAGGTCCTGGCCTTCTAGTTATCTCCATCTGTCTAACCCAGAATGCTGTTTCTCAACTCTTACTGAGGTTTTCAGCAGCGGAGGAATTGGGGTGAGACTACTAAGAGTTTCCTGAATCCCTGGGACTGTGCTTGCCTTTGGCAGCTCTGGGGTTCTTACAGAAAGCAGGAATTTATAATCATTGTCTGTGATTTCCTGAGCACCTATGTGTGTTACGCACTTCACTAAGAACTTTGCAAGTTAGTTTTATTTTGTTTTTCACTATACCTCTGTAATATGGACATTACTGTATTTCACTGAGGATGATGAACTCAAGATTTAAGTGACTAACCAGGAAAAAGAATAGATTTTTTTTCCTTTTAAAAAAGTTTCATGCCAGCTTAGAATGGTTCTATTTAGGACCATTGGACTTTACAACGGTGCAGAATTGATACATATTCAGTAGAAACTATACTTCAAGGTTTGAATTTTGATCTTTTCCTGGGCTAATGATATGCAGTAAAATACTTTCTCTGGATGCTGGACAATGGAAGTGAGCTGTGACCAGTCAGCCATGTGATTGCGAGAGTAAACAACAGGTACTCTGCTGTGTGTTAAATGTATTTTCAACTCAGGAGGGATTTATCTGGATGTAGCCCCATCATAAATCGAGAAGCATGTGTGTTTTAGAGAAACATAGTAATGCCTTTGGGCCTTTGGTCCTGTGATTCACACTCCTTTCAGCATCTCTGCTTGTCTCCTCTGGCACACCAGCAGCCTGCAGGAAGGCAGAGAGAAGCACTGTTGACTTTGTAGTTAGAGCCACCTTGTCGCAGTTATCTAGGTCCTAATTTCCCACAATGGGACAAACGGAAATAAACCTGAACTTTCTTCCACGCTTTATCACATGGTGTTTGACTAAAGATAAATTATAAATGACCTAATCCCTAGTAATATTATAAGAACAACTGCTTAACTAGGGGCTTAACAAGAATTCCTGACAGTTTTTCAAAGTTGTGCTAAGGTAGCTTCAGTGCAAGATTGTGATTTTACCTCTGCCAAATGACCTTTCACAAATAAGTGGATTTGGAAAGAACAAAGTTTAGTTGGCAAAAGCCTTAGATCTCCTATGACTTCTGAGCATATATTATTTCACCTTTTACCAGTTACACTATTCCTTGTAGATATGCATTTTATAAATACTATATGGGCCTACCTTTTGTTAAAAGCACATATTTGTAAGTTCAGATTTGTATAAATTGTAGATTAAGATATCCTTGAATTTTCTCATTAGAAAAAACAGGTATAGCAGAGAACTTTAAACAAGGAGGGATGCTGATGAGTCTGATTTATAATGTAATTTAAAATTTACTGTAACTATTTTAGGTTTGTGTAATTTCTTCTGAAATTTACTAGTGTATATTTTTCCTTGGTTGATTCCTTTCCTTGGTTGATTGATTTATTTTTTTCAGAGTTTATGTTTAACCATGAGAAAACAGAGATTGTTTTTATTTAATTTGCTGTATTGGGCATCTATCATGGCATTAATCAAATATGTACATTAAAATACGTTGTCAATGAATTGGTACTGTTTCCTTGTACTGCTCATGCCCTAGTGGCTTTCAGGTGTTGGGAGGCATCCAGGATAATTATTTTCAAATTTTGAAATCCAAAAGTTAATTTTTTTTCTTTTCTTTTTTTTTTTTTTTGAGATAGCGTCTTGCTCTGTCACCCAGACTGGAGTGCAGTGGCACGATGTCGGCTCACTGCAACCTCTGCCTCGTGGGTTCAAACAATTCTCATGCCTCAGCCTCCCAAGTAGCTAGAATGACAGGCATGTGCCACTACACCAGGATAATAATTGTAATTTTAGTAGAGATGGTGTTTTGCCATGTAGGCCAGGCTGTTTCAAACTCCTGACCTCAAGTGATCCACTTGGCCTCTCATAGTGCTGGGATTACAGCATGAGCCACCACACCAGCACCCCAAAAGCTCATTTTCTTAAATTATTTGGTGCTGTAATCCTGATCTGAACTGACATAAGGCTATGTATAGTCATTATTCTCTAATTTAAATACTTTTAAGTTACACTGAGAAAATAGTAATGTATTTATTTATATGATGCTGCCATCAATCCTGCTTGTT